GGGGGGGGGAGCAACTGACAGCACCGGGTGATAGGGTTAGAAACAATGGATAGGATGAAAGAATGCAATGCCATGAAAGAGAAAAACCCGCCTGCTAGGAAGATAAAAAGCTGATTTAACACCCCAGTGTCATGTTTGAAATATGTTTTAACACCCCCGTGTCATGTTTGAAAGATGTTTAGAATATTGCCCTTGGTGTTGCTCAGTGTTTTGGATAGCGTGCGGCGACAAATAGCAACGAGGGCCCGCTTCACTGAGGCGAGAGGCGCGTAGCGAAGCGCTCGCCTTTTTGATGCGAAGGGACAATTTATACAAAAACATAAAATATATATATATATAACTAAAAACTCAATAACAATAATATATTAATAAATATATCAATTCAAAAAAAAAAAAAACAGAGCCTAAAAAGACACTCTTCTGCCTCTGCTGCTTGCTCCAAACAGAGCCAAAAAAAATAAGAGAAGAAGAAAGAAAGAGCCTCTGCTCTGCTGGTCGAAAAACAGAGCACAAAAAATAAAGACAAGAAGAAGAAAAAGGAAGAAAGAAGAAAAAGAAAAAAGGAAAAGAAGAAGACAACAATGGTTGAAGTCGAACTGTCGAAGAAAAGACAGCAATGGTTACTGTCGCTGAAATAGAAGAAGAAGAAAGTAGAAGAAGAAAGGAGAAGAAGAAGAAAAGAAAAGAAAGAAACATACCTGGGTTACTGTCGCTGGCTGAAGATGAATCCCAAGCCCTAATTTTTCTGTTGCTGAGAAAAGGTCGCTGAAGGAGAAGAAGTGAAAAACCCAAGCCCTAATGTTTTAAAGTGTTTGCGCCTTTTTCTTTCTTTTTTTTTTTTCAAATAGCGACGTCACAGCTCGCCTCTCGCTACACAGGCAGAGGCGCTCGCCTTTTACAATCGCAACGCAACAGAGCCAAAATAGCGCAGGCTGCTCGCATCGCCTCGCCTCACGCTATTAGCGCTGAGGCGAGCGCTATTTATAACACTGGTGTTGCTTAATGAAGTATATTGGGAGCTGAACTTAACCGCTGATAATTGGGTTAATTTATTAGTTTCCCTGTGCAAGATGCTCCAAGTGCTACCAGTTGGCTGAGCAATTTTCTGTTCATTGACTGTTACTTTCAGGATCTGGCTCTTCTTATTTGTATGGTTTCTTTGACCAAGCATGGAAAGAAGGAATGACTCAAGAAGAAGCTGAGGTTAGTTGCCTGCAGTTTGTAGTTACAACCTGTCTAATTTGTACGACAGTGTTGGACCATCAAGATGCCATCATCTTCACAGCTATGTGTTTATCTTCATCCGTCATGCTTTTAGTCTATAATGCAGAGATGTCTTTTGAAAAAATAAGCGTATTTTTGCTAGTTCTAGATGAAACTTTTTAAATATAGTAGCAAAGTTCTTATTAATTTGGGACACAAAGCTTTCAAACCAATGGAAGGGGTAGAGAAATACTTTTGGTAGTAAGAGAGGCTGAGCAGTGTGATTCACATACATCGACACTAAAACCAACCACCATGATCCGTTGTATGCATAATAAGAGCTTGAACTTGCATCTTGCCTATGAGCTCTATTTACTTAGTAAGGTAGAGTGTAGTTTTCTGAAATTCTCCTTGAGGGGATAGCTTTTCAACTGGGCATAATAGACTATTGCTATGTGGACATGTTGATGCTCTGATCAATCATCTGTATTGGTATTGCCTCACTATTCACTGATCTACTTTAATGATAATTCTGAAGATTTTAGTTGGATGAAGATTTAATTTTGTTTCACCTTTTCTGTAGAAACTGGTGGTCACTGCAGTATCTCTTGCCATTGCACGAGATGGTGCTAGCGGTGGAGTTGTCCGGACTGTAACTGTGAGTTAATTAATCTGCTTTATGCTTATTCAAATGCTATAATATGCTTCAATGAAATTTTATTTGCTCATTGAGGCTCTAGTAGAAAATTATTTAAGTTAAAATAAACTAATGTCTTCGTTTATAAAGAAATTGAATAAACCGAAGTCTTGCCTCCCCACCTTTTCTTTTAGTCAATCCAAAAGGAACCCTTGATATACCTGTAGGCATTAGTAGTTGTAGCATCAACTCCATGAAACTACTCTTCTTAATGATGGTGATATTGAGAGCCACAAGGTAGGTCCCGATTTACCTACATGTTAGCACATTTCAACTGTGTCCAAGATCCCTTCGATATGCACATTATGTTTATTTAGGCCTTATAATTTTGTAGTTTGGACCAATTCTAAGATTCTAAGAAACTAGTGCTTTATTTTGTTATGTTATGAATATGATTACTTCTGCTGTAGGTTTTTAAGTATCTTCTATCCTATATGTTTTCACAGACCCCACTTGTGGGATTACAGTGGGTATGTTGTTCTATCCTATACGTGTTGTTTTTGTGCTGTATTGCTCTTTTGCCACTCCAGCATAAAGCTTTTGTAGGATGATCGAGTCGGACCAATTCTTTTACTGGCTACTATTTTTTGCTTTGGAACACTTTAAACAATATCTTCATCTTATCGAAAGAGGTCCTCATGTTTTCAGTTGTCTCGTTATGTAAGCATGTTTTTGAACAATTTTGATTACCAGATTAACAAAGATGGAGCCACAAGAAAGTTCTATCCAGGTGATTCCCTCCAACTTTGGCATGAAGAATTAGAGCCTGTGAACTCACTGCTGGATGTTGTGTCTGCATCAAGTCCTGATCCAATGGTCAGTTGAAACAAGAGTATGCCCCTACTGACATGTTTGAGGCTGTAGAATTTTATTAACTGCTGCTGGTGTACAAGTACTCCCTCGCATGTTCTGGATCATTGTTTTTTCCCTTCCTTTTGTCCTGCTGCAACTTTTTAAATCATTTATGTTGACATAGTTCTGACTGTTTCTGGTCCTGTGATTTCCCATTTGCTTTAAAATAGGTATTTCGTCCACATTAAGGCGGAAACTCTGAAACTTCTCATGTTTGCTTGATTTGTTTAAAAGAAGTGGTTGGAAAATAAGCTCCATGATTATCAGCTAAGTTAGATGGAAAGGAGGATAAAGAAACAATGCTCTTCCTCTATGCGATTTACCTTCCAAGTCAAACGAACAAATGAATGTGTCAAGAAACGACTGGTATGGAGCTGGTTAACCGGGGGTTCTTGTTTGGACATTGCATCTGCTTCAAATATTATTTGCAACTCAATATTCGTTTTATAATTTGGTCCAATTTTTTAAGTTTCAACTTGAAATAGGAAACTAGAAGTTACAAAACTTGTTTGAGTAGTATTTCTAGTCAAATGAAGATTTTCGCTTGCAAAGCTTTGATTTTTTTCAAGTGAAATTCGTGTTAAAACGTAACTTAAATTTCCAAGTGCTTTATTTCAACTTCCAACTTTGAATAGTGTTTTTACTTTTTACGTCAACCAAATATTGTCCAAATGCCTAATATATCCAGCTCAACCCGTACCATATCTGTGGAATATGCCAATTGAGAATGTAGCATGTTTGATCCAAGTTAGCTATAGTGATTCTTCCTTGTTGCTTAAGTTAAAGGAAGCAGACTTAGCTGCGTTTTCCTTGAACCACAACATGTAACTCGAAATTGTGGAACTGCTTACTTTACCAATTAATAGGGAATGTACGAAAGACATGTAACTGCTGTTACTACGTGTGGAACAACCAAGAGAATGAACCTCTAGGTAGATACAAAATTAAATATGTGAAGTAATATTACGTTATGTTACTTTGAACTTTATGTAACATGTTCATACCTTTTTCGTCTTCAGCTGTTATTTTAAGCATATTTCTAACAAATAGCTATTGAATTACAACTTCAGACTTTCTTCTCTTCATCTTTGTAGAAGGTTAATAAGGTGAGGCAAGATGGAACGTGGAGCACTAATCTTTTATTATTTTTAAAGATTTACATTATTACTATTTTGATCATAGAAAAGTGAGGCATGATAGGAATGTCACGCGTAATGATTTAGTTGGATGAATGATAAAAATAAGAGTAATAATAACTGTGAGACTGCATAATTGCTTTGATCATTATTATTGTTAGTACTATTACTTTTACTTAATACCCAAACCAAAAGCAGGAAAAATGATTGTAAGGATGTTAATCTTCTATTTAAATATATTCCTTCTAATCACCGGCTTGATTTGTTTCTGCTTTTTCTTTTATGTAAATTTAAACAGTAGAGTAGATTATAAAAACTCCCAGTTCATCATATCCTTAATCATGCCACTGTTTAGCAATCCAAAACCAAAATAAGATTTAAGGTGTCAAATACATTACTGTAGAAAATTGGTATTAGGAAAAAAACCATTCGTTTCGTTTTTCGTTCCTAGTTTCTTTTTTTCATTTAAATCCATGAATAAATTGTTGAACATGAAAAGTTATTTAGAGTTCTCCAATTTCTTTTTTCTTTTTGGAATTGCACTGTACCTGCCATGTTAGGAAAAAAATTATTTGATGTCCTTCTTAATAGTTTTAGAGTTGATAATCTTATTAATTATGTTGATAATTCATACCCATTCTTGTAGTTTAATTCTCTAAATAATGGAGTAGGAAAAGGTCCCTTCGGGGACATCCGATAAAAGAGCAGGAAAAGTAAATTATGAGGTTTTTTCTCATTCATTGCGACCGACTTTCTTATGTTTATCAAGTAAAGAATAAAATGTTAAATAAAATTCATATTAACACCTTTATAGAGAAGTTGCTTATATAGGACTTTTTTTAAAAATAAGAAAATTTCACTACAAGATGTTACGCGATTTCATAGAATCTTATACATTCCAATTTTGTGGTTTTATGGCTCCTTGTTTCTTGTTTACAAGTTTTTCGTTAAATACAATTTTTATAAAAAATTTATACAATATATCTTTTGTATATTTTGGATTGTACAAAAATTTTATATACAAAATTTGGATTGTATATATTTTGTAAACAAAATTTGTTTATACCGGGTAATTAACTAAACATGGACATTAAAGGTAATAAAGTTTCAAATAGTGTATAAGAATGAAAAAAATCCTAAGTTTTACAGCCATTAATATTAGTAACTTAAATAATGCTAACAAAAGCCCAAACTAAAATCAAATCAATATTAATGCTAACAAAAGACATTCAATCCAATACGATGAACAACAATGTATTGAATATTTATTTTTTGTTTTGCAATGGTTTAGATAAAAATGCATAACCTATTTATTTTTTCTTTAGTGTTTAGTCATGTAATTAATACTCCCTTATTACTTATTAGTCTACTTATAGAATGACTTAGATTTATAGATTATGGCTTTTTAATTAACAATATTTATATTATATAATTATTATCTTTATCGTTGAATATTTTAGGATAATGCCATGACACATCTCATATTTTGTATATTTTTTTTTGAAAAATACCTTATATAGTTGTATCTTACTAGGATTAAAGAAATATTTTGAGCACAANATTGGTTTGGTTTGGTCTTTAGATTTACTAATCCGACACAATTAATTTGGTTTGGTAATTGCAAAACCCGAACCAACCCGACCTGCTCCAGTTTACCATCTCATCTTCCATAATTTAATTCTCAATATTGAGTTCTGTATCATTGGTTGTCGATATTTTTCTTGAATTCAAGGGTAAAACATCTATTTATAAATTTGTTTTAATGCAAATCAAATTATCGTTTCTTATCTTTAAGAATTGTTTTTTTTGGAAAAATGTAAATTTAATATGCACAAATTTGCAACTTATTAAATTTCTGATTGATTTCTCTGTGTCTAAATATTTTACCTCCAGTACAAATTTTTTTTATGAATTTTTAGTCAAGTCAACCCTTAACATATATGGTAGACAATGATATTGATATTTAGCGGTGGAGCCTATAATTAACAGATCGTATTTTTCTGATCCCTATTGATTATTAAGGACCACATATAAACTTTTAGGGATTATTTTTCCGCCGTTAATTGCTACTATTTTTCTTGCTGTGGACTACAATGCCTTTAAGCTTAGCTCAATACCAAAAATCAGAGGAGAGGGAATTGAAAGGACATCACCTGAAACTTCGGCTTATTATTCGTTTGGGCCAAATAGTGGTTCCAAATACTAGATTCTTTCTTACTGTAAAGTCACTTTTAAAAGAAAGTAGAGCTTTTTTGAATTATGAACCTCAATGACCTATTATTTTCCAAGAAAAGCTATCACAAAACACACTTTGGACAAGAATTTCTCTTTTCAAACTAGGCAACCCCATGTTATTGACAATTCTGATTCGATGAGAATATTGGGATATTATCACCATATTCCACACCCGTCTAAAACTATTATATATATATGTGGTGTCACATTCCATATGATCCATCAACCACCATATACATTAATGGCGGAGGAATCATATGGATCTAATATTTTTGACACCAAATATAAATATGTATATGAAGAATTTTTAATGATTTAACAAATATTAAATTATGAGCCCATAATTTTAGTCATAATTTAAATAGTGCATTTGATTCAGTAGTAAGAACCTAAGAAATTATTCGGTGTAGAAGTAAGTTATCCACACATTAATAATGTAAGAATAGTTTATGTGATAATTAATAATGAATGAATTATTAGGCTGATTACTAGTGAATGTATATTATGCGATGATTAGTAATAAAGAGATTTTTATACATGAATTAATTAGTCTATAAGGGCACTTTGCCTTTAAATAGTTGTATACAGGTAAAATCGGGGTTAATGAGCACCCCGATTTTTTGGTGGGGCAAACAAAACAAGGACATAACTACAAAAAATCAGAATCGAAGCTAGGAACCTCTCGTACTAAGGCCCGAGCAAAACGCTACCAACAGAGTCATCGAGACCACGCCCATCGGATCCGGTTCGAGCTCCAAGACCTTGGAAAACATTACCAAACATCTGCACACGACTAACAAAGGGCCGTGATATCCGTGCCCAACCGGATATCACGGCGTATATCTCGGCCCGTATCGGTAGTAGATCAGTGATTAATGAAAAAGAAGATTTTTACCTTTCTTATAATTGTACTAGGGATGAAACTCTCCTACTATATAAAGGGGTAATTTTTATTCAAGAGACACTGTAAAACGGATATCAAGGCAATATAAACTTGTTTTCTCTGCTTCTAAGTTATTCAAAGTTCTTATTTTTGCTCATAGTTTTTCATAAATATTTGGCTCCGAATCGAGGGCAGAACAATCACTAAGCTCAGATTCGAACTCGGACTTAACATCACGACTGGTTTGGTTATTCAATTGTCTTTAATTCGCTTATCTAACGTTATTGATCATTTGTATTGAACTAATCTAATATCCTTAAAATCGCGTATAAATTCACTTATTATCCGTTTTTAAGGGTAAACAGTTTAGCGCCCACCGTGGGGCTAAGGATAATAGTGGTGGTTTGATACAGATTTCTTTAACACACTCTATTTTACGCTTGTTCTTTAAGATTTTAATTTCAGGTCAACATAAAAATGTCAAACTCTTAGTTTACTCACTTGAACATTGATGTTGAGACTGGCCATCATGGCGAAAATAACAATATGGGGCCTAGCAACGAGGCGCCCCATGTTGATCCCAACGGAGTCCCAGTTGATGCCAACTAGCATGTGGCCATCGATGCCAAACTGCCGACCGACCCTGATAACACCATTCATTGAAGAGCCCGACCGACGGCTTGAGGTATGCCTGAAGGAGAAGGAGACATGATTAATCTCCAGGTGATCTTTGAAATGTTACAGGTACAGCAGGCGGCGATAGCACAACTGCAAAATCAAAGCCGTGCCCCAAGTAGAGTTGAGCCCAAACCATCCCAGAAAATACCCGAAGTAATGAGCATGTCATAGAAAGGCGGGTAAAGCTGAGCTTGGGACCAACCCTGAGATAATAAAAATGCTTGAGGAACTGACAAAGCGGGTGGAATCAGGGGAGAAGAAGATTGAGGCCGCTGACAAAAAAGTGGAGACCTATAACTCCAGGGTCGATCAAATCCCA